ATTAATGATTCTCAGGAAAAAATGAAATTAGTTACAGAGAAATTAAGCCAAGTCTAATTTGCAGGAAAAGATCTATCAATCTGTCTCTGACTAGGTCAACTTTTACTTTGAGACTTTTGGGGGGACAAGCTCACAGTGTCACCAGCCTCCTCTCCTCCAAAAAAGAAACAAATTAACAAGAGAAATTTCTTGGTAAAAGGAGCAAATAAGGATCCTGCTACACATGGACAGATGCTATGAAAGGGAAAATACAAATTAAAATGGGAGAATGGTAACTGATGAAATGTCCCACAGCATCCATAATGGGGATGGGAGATGCCTTCTGGCACCCAGCATGGATGGGCTCAGCTGCCTTTGGGACTGCTGGAGAAGCCACAAGGGACGCTGACTGTTGCACATGCATCTGTGCCAAGCAGAAGTCCTCTTGCTCTCATCATGTTCTTGCTGTGAGGCTCCAGTGCCTGGTGTGCTTCACCAGCTGTAGCCGGGGGATGTCTCTGGTACTCCAGGCAGCCTGTTGTAGCACCCCAACCCCTTCCTGCAGATGAAGCAGATCACTTCTTCCTTTTCCAAAAGCTAAACCACCGCGCCTGTGCTGCCAGCTCAGGCTGTGGCATACCCAATGAGCCACCTTCCTGGTCACTGTCAGCAATCTCTGTCCACTCGGGGCAGCAGGACAGCGGTGTCACCAATGGAGGCCAGCCCAGGGGAACAACGGGGGTTCTCAGGGTTGTACACGTTCATACTGTGATTACAGGCCAGGAAAGGCTTACATACCAGTGTTGTACAAGATCTCGCCAAGAGAGTATGTTAGATCTGCTCTGGAGATGGATGACTCGGGGCAGGGGGTGAAGGCATTTGTCTGAAGCACTTGGGAATTCTTGGCCTGAGCCGAGTGTTGACTTGGAGCCAACGCTGTATCCACCAAACCATTACTTAACCGCTTGGACTGTGGGGGTGCTAACACAATATTCCTCCCTACAGGATGTTTCCTAGTGCTTATCTTGCTCTAAGTGTCTCTGAGTAGTTCTTAACATGCTAAAATGTCATAACTGAAAAAAAAAATAGATTATGAAGCCCAACTTATGTACCTTGGCAACAGCCCAGCTCACTAATGTAGTGATGGCACTTCCACTGACTCGGGGTGGCCCTGGGCTTCATCTCTCCTTCGCACAGCTAAGAAACTGGAACAAACACTAGACCCTCGGTGACAGTTCTATGTTGGTCAGGATTACTTGTAATGCACTGCCGCTGGAGTCGCAGCACTGTGCAAAACAAGATGTCTGGAGCCACGTCAGATGCCTACATGTGAGGTCCACCCCAAAGCCTGGAAGAGCTGCTGCTGAATTTAGTGAAGTTTAGCACAGTCAGGTCTTCTGACTGCTTGAAGGACATTCACTTAGATGAGAGAGGTAGCCCAACGGGATCTGCACAGTTGACTTATGACCCCTTCAGCAATATCGAAACCCCATCAGATGTTACAATACAGAACTGTAGGGTAATTAGTTGCCTCATTGTCCAGGACCCCAGACTTGGGTGTGGATCATAATTACTGATTCACAAGGGCATACACCTTCTTCCCAGAAGTGGAGTTGCCTGTCCCTGTGCAATTAGCTACAGACATGTGGAAAGGGAGTCTCTGGTATTTCTTAAATATAGTTTACTCCTATCCCTCACATGGCTACACATGCTCCTTAAGCACCTGCTCTTACACTCACATGCCTCACAGGTGAGTTTGCACCTTCTGTTTTGTGCAACAACAGCACAAAGCAGAAAACTAGGGAAAAACCACCCAAATTTAATTTCCATCTTTATGCACTTTCATTACATATTAATAAGCAAGGAAAAAAGGAACAGCCACCAAGAGATACTATTTCTAGTCAAAGTTAAAATGAATGGACAGTTCTCCAGGGCCAGCTGTCCCTGTATGGGCCAAACCACAGTAATGGCATTTTACCTCTTTTAAACAGTCACCCAGAATTTCAATTGTCTGCTCTCACTATGTATGTTCTCCACATTTCTTCTGTCTATGTTTCCCCTTGAAACAAAGGCAAAGTGCTTCAGAAATCTGCAATCTACTGAACAGATACGTGGTATTTCATAAATAGCAAGGAAAGCTAGATCTGACAGACCACAGCAGCTGCGGGACTTCACGGATACTACAACCAGCTTACCCACTTCTTGCACAGTGAGTAGGCTGGAGGCAAACTGCACCGACATTTCCAGGTAATTAATATGTCTGCTTTGCATTCAGACACTGCCCTCCCTGCTCAGCACTGGTGCACGTTCTCACGCACGACAGGAGGAAGAGGCATGTCGGGGTGACAGTCCTGTACGAGAAGCCCGGTGACTTGCCCTGTTATTACCTGGCTGTAATAACAGCTACAGACGACTCTGCCATAATGACGCAGGTGGGGCCTCACGCACCTCTGAATGTTGATGGCCAGGACACAGCTCTCCTACCAGCAGTCCCAGTGTCTACAAAATCCATCGCGAGCTGAGCCAGGTGTGGGGACAAGGTCTTCCCCCTCCTCAGGCAGCCTGTCACCAGCTCTGCTGGGAGCTCACCAGTGGCTCTGCTGGGATGTACTACATGGAGTAGGGGAAGGAAAGCCAGGTGAGATGCTGATTTTCACTGCACTCACAGGCTGGGGTGGAGGGGTGGCACAGCTGTTTAACAATTATTTAAGCCTAAGACACAAGGCCTAAAAGACCCCATGAAGCCCTCAACCAGGCTCTGGTGGTGGAAGTAGCTTGCCTTGCCTCTGTTGTAATGAGAAAAGACTTCAGCTCTCAAGCCCTTAATACAGTTCATTTCTCATAACATATTTGAAAAGGAGCATCAAAACACCATAATGAAGGCAAAAGGAGAACTGTGGCTTCCAGCAGTGAATACCCCAGGTCTTCACAGACTAGACTTCCTCATGGCCACTTCTAGGGCTTTATGAGCATTTGATGAGCCCTCCCTTACTCTGCTCCCTCTGCATGACTTTCTTTAGTTTATTCTGGGTATCGGCAATCCCTCCCCCGAGTATTTCTCAGCCAGATCAATGAGCTGACCACACTCAGGCTGCAGACGTACTAAACCCAGCACAAAGTGAGGGCCATGCTGCTCCTCACAGGGCCGTGTGACCTTAGTAACTCACCCCCACAATTGCACTCTTATTTTCTGCCCCTCTGCCATTGTAAACATTTGCTTGGCCCCAAAGAGTTTTGTTCAGAAGCAGACTCGAGCTTTCCAAGGCATAAGGAACATTGTGGCTCCTGGCGACTGCAGTACGGTGCAGTGACACCGTCACCTCCAGTGAGTGACCTGGGAGATGCAGGATGGGGTTTCTGAGTGTAAATCAAGTCACATACCAGGCACACAGTTACTCCTCTAACAGGAGATCCACGCCACAGGTAAGACTTCAAAGTAGTGTCTTTTGGTTTAAATAGAAAGGGTCTTACCTCCTGAGCTGAGCAGCAGGCAACAACAGTACACTGTACCATGGCAAAAAACCCAAATCAAACAAAAAGGCCCATGTGGAGCATGCCAAAGCTGAGCAGAAATGCCAACAGCGTAAGGACTAAGATACCTTCCCCTGACAATTTTAAAACATCTGGTTTTCCTCCTACTGAGCAAAGTCAAAACACAGAAATCTTCTGCAAAAAGAATGGTGATTCTCACCCAGCTCTGTACATTACACCCGTATCTCGGGCAACGTTTTACTCCACAGGGCAATTTCCAGTGATCTAAAGCTGACCCAGACCTCTGTGCGATGACTGGGCACTGCCTTGTAACAAATACATGTGGTTGTTACCTGTGATTGGCAAAATGCTCTTTGAAAATGCAAACACACTTCAGAGGATAATGCAGCTTTAGTGGTGAGCACCATTCAATCTCCAGGATGGCAGGGTCAAAAGCTTTCCTTTAGTACACATCTCCTTCTCAAAGATTTGTTTATTTGCGCCAACACAATGAAAATAAAAGAGAGCCTTCAGCTTAACAGCTGAGGTGGTGCACCTCAATACACTTCTCCCTCTTTTTCTTTCTCCAGGAGGAAGATCAGCTTTCTTTTGTGGGATGTTCATAGTGCAGCCTGGCTAACAGCATCCTGAAGATCTCCCAGGACACACAGATATCCCTCTTTTCCAACGACCTGCCTTATCATCTTTACAAAATCACTTATGTCTCTCTGACCCTCGTCCTTGCCTGTTTGAGTAGGAAGCTTTTTCAGCCTTGGTACAATGTATACAAATGCTTGGCGTGGTCTCTATACACAATAAAAATTGGGTCCTGCAACATATTAATTGAGGAGAACCTACTATATAACTCTTTTGGATTTTAAGCTCCTTCGGGCTTTCTCAACAAGGCATGTCTTGGTCACTCCACTACAATCAGTGGCTTCATGCTGGAAAAAGAGCGGTCTAAGGTATCATAATTTGGGTCCACTGATCTGCATCAGCCTTGTCCATGATACGAGTACTTTCATGCAATCAGTTTCACCATTCTCCTTCAGTACTTTTACAGAAATACAATTTCCCACTCTGCTAGGAGAAAAAATAAATGCTGTCTTTTCTATCTTCTAGATGATTTAAAGCACTAGTTGCGGTGCAACATTTGCTCCCATGATTTATAACAGAAGCCTGACCAGCAGCTCAGCATGTATAGGCAGGACAAGGCTGCATTTATCAGCAGCTGACATTCATGCATTAGCATCTCATTGAATAAGGTCCCAGGTGGGAAACAGTGACTGAGGGTGGCTACGTGAGCCTCCAGCTCAGCGGGAGCTTGTTCCTCAGCATCCTCCACTACTCCCATCACAAAGGCAGCCCAAACTCCAGTTCACCGCTTGGCAAAACCAGAACTGGCACTTAATGTGACTCACAGTTAGTTGGCACATATGTCCATGAGCGATACAGACCCACCAGCTCCCCTTTCAGCAAAGGCATTTCAAAAAGGACACATGTTCTTGGGGAAAAAAAAAAATAATAATCACAAGGATGATTGTCTCTACCTCCATGCTAGTATTGGGGTCAAGGTCATCACACTCTGATTCCTCTGAGCTGTTTGTCTCCTTGTTTGGCAGCATGAAGAGGAAGAAAGAGAAAAAGAGATTAGAAGAGAGATTGGTTAGACAGGGCAGAGCAGCAGAGGAGTTGTGAGCAGCATAGGAATGGGTAACATTACAGAAAATGCTCTAAAAAAACAAACAAAAACCAAACCAACAACAAAACAGGGGGAGCAAAGGCAAAGCCATGCTTTTGCCAAAGAAGAGGTGTGATTCTGCAAGTCGTTCAGCTAAGTAAAAACAGCGAGGGAGCAACAGGAGGAAGAACTGTGGCCACCATGCTGGAGCAACCGCTTCCCCCGGGCCCAGTCCTTCCCGGCTGAGCACTGGGTGCAGGGTGGCTGCATGGTGGGTGCGGGGGACGCCCGGGCTGTGGTGGCAGGGTTCCTCCCTTTGCACATGCCATGGCTATTTCATTAGGCTTACAAGATGGAAAAGCCTCTGCAAAGGAAAACAATCACGGGCCCTCCTAGAGAGGGGTGGATCCAAAGGACATGCTCAAGTGCTTTCCTGGATCAAGGCTGGGCTTTGGTTGTGTCAAAATTACAAGTGTTTGCTTGCCTCTGTTGGGAGGAAAAGCCCCAGATTAGTCCTGAGCAGGCCTCATGGTTGGTTTATGGGGATGGATCCTCTGAACTGGAGCAGAGTAGTCAGGTACCCAGGGCAGAAGATGGAGCTTATCTCCACAGTTCTCAACCTTTTCCATACTGAGAGATCTCAGAGAGAGAGAGACAGACACAGACACACACACACGCACACACAGAGACACACACGAGACCCTCTCCTGGCATGACCGAGTCAGCATCTCTGCCCTGT